TCTGAAACACAGCATACATCAATGGCTCGTGATGCCAGGGTCTTGGCTAGTGATGCTTGTTGTCCTATTTGGCAAAGTGTCCTAACATTAAGAGCTCCTATATGAAATTGGTGGCGCGGCTTTAGGAGGCTGTCGGTGGTGATTTTTTGGCTTCCATCGTTTTTAGTGGACGCAGAGTGGAGAGGAAGTGGTGAGCTATCAAGTCGAGGAGTTGCATCAGTGGAAGGAAGGCAAGATGATAGAGATGAAGATGAAGACAAAGATGAGTGAGTAATAGAGAGGTTTCGTGTGCATTTCGGATTGTGAGGGCGATTGTTACTTCCCGGCTGCCCACACCGTGGAAGTTGGTTGCGTAACCGCAGAGCCCAGAGGACAACTACTTGAGTGGTGGTCGGGCTTGAACACCGCAATGACCTAATCAAGCTATACTGGCTGAGACTTATGTCTCTTGAGGTTCTACCATGCCAGGCAGGTTGTTTGGATAGCGGTTAAACAAAAAGCAGCTACCTCATCCAATACCATGATCCAAACAAATTCACAAACTTTCATGCCGGATCGGCCGTGGCCCGGATTAACAACGACCGCGCTTCCTGCTGCCGTGTCACAGGGCAGGAGTGATAAATCTGCTACTGAGACACACCAAACAAAAAAGAACGAACAAAAACAGGCCGCGTGTGACCGGCCTCAAGCAGTTGTCCTCTGGGCTCTGCGGTCACGCAACCAACTTCCACGGTGTGGGCAGCCGGGAAGTAACAATCGCCCTCACAATCCGAAATGCACACGAAACCTCTCTATTACTCACTCATCTTTGTCTTCATCTTCATCTCTATCATCTTGCCTTCCTTCCACTGATGCAACTCCTCGACTTGATAGCTCTCCACTTCCTCTCCACTCTGCGTCCACTAAAAACGATGGAAGCCAAAAAATCACCACCGACAGCCTCTTAAAGCCGCGCCACCAATTTCATATAGGAGCTCTTAATGTTAGGACACTTTGCCAAATAGGACAACAAGCATCACTTGCTGTGTTTCAGAAACACGCATACAAGACCCAAGTGTGGTTATTCACCTAACCCCTCCTGGCCAACAGGTTGAATCTGCAAAATTCACCTTGAGGGTGTCAGGAGATGCCACAGCTAGTTCACGAGGATTAGCTGGCGTAGGGATAGCTTTGAGTACTAGGGCAGAAAAGACATTGCTTGACTGGATCCCGGTAGATAGCCGAATGTGTGCTGTCCGTCTGAACGGATCAGTAAGAAGGAGAAAGGACTGCACTACTCGCCGATGCCTTTTTGTAATCTCCGCCTACGCCCCCACTGACTGCAGTTCAGATGAAACGAAGGATGAGTTCTACCAAAAGCTGTCTAGTTTGGTGAGAAAGGCTAAACGCTCAGACATAGTCGTTCTAGCTGGTGACTTTAACGCTCAAGTAGGGAAATTGTGTCAATCTGAGAAGGATGTCGGTGGCACCTATGGAGCTCCGTGCCAGCGAACCGACAACGGTGACCGTCTCCTACAGTTCTGTTCAGATAATCATTTGTTTCTTGTAAGCACTAACTTTAAACACAAGGAGAGACACTGTTTGACTTGGAGACCCCCTTCATCTAACCAACGCTGGACACAAATAGACCACATAGCAATAAGCTATCGTTGGCGTGGGTCGGTAGGAGATTGTCGCTCCTTCTGGAACACGTGCGTAGATACCGACCATGCACTGGTCCGCGCTCGGGTGTGCTTACGACTGAACGGACGTAGGAAACAGCTGGCGGCAAAACCATCACGTCCCCAGCTCGATCAGGAAACTAAATCCGTATTTCAGGAAGAACTAGCTAAACACATATCTGTGTTCGACAGCTGTGCTCACCCTGAAGAAGCTTGGAAAAATATCCAGGCAGCCATAGATACAACTGTAAAAGCTGTGAATAAGGCAAATCCAAAGGTGAGTAAAAACCACTGGATTTCGACTGCCTCATCCGAACTGATAGATGCTAGAAGACTTATTCCGGCGAGCACCGAATTCAATGAGGAGCGAAAGCTGCACAAAAGGAAACTTACGAAAAGTCTCCGCAAGGACCGTGAACAGTGGTGGGCGACAAAAGCCAAAGAGATGGAGAATGCTTCGAGGATAGGCAACACCAGGCAACTCTTTGGACTCATCAGGGAAACGGGTGGGAGAAGACAAATCATCAGTGAGACAATCTCGGAAAAAAATGGCACTATAATTAGCTCCCAGGATAGACGACTGGATCGTTGCAAAGAGCATTATGAGGAGCAGTTTAATTGGCCCACAGCCACGCTCAACCTTCCGAGCATCCAACACCTCCCTGAATGGGATACAGATACAGGTCCCCCGTCACTAACTGAGGTTACTAAAGCTGTCACCAATCTGAAACTAGGCAAAGCAGCGGGACCTGATGGAATGACTCCAGAGGTATTTAAGTACGGTGGAGACAGCTTACTGTCCGGATTAACTGAGGTACTAGGCAGCGTTTGGGAATCAGAAGAAGTCCCATCGGGTTGGTGTAAGTCACTGATTATCCCCATATACAAGAAGGGAGACAAGTCTTCCTGTGATAATCACAGAGGGATTAGCTTGACTAATATAGTATCTAAAGTCTTAGGCTCAATAATCATGCGTAGACTGAGTGGTGCTCGGGAAGCACAAACACGAGAGAGCCAGGTAGGCTTTAGACCAGGAAGAGGGTGTATTGATCATATCTTCACCCTCCGACAGATTCTAGAACATAGGCATTCCTACCGGCGTCCAACAGTCATTATATTTCTTGACCTAAAGGTAGCATTCGACTCTGTCGATCGGGAAGTTCTCTGGAGATGCTTGGCTGTAAAGGGAACTCCAAGAAAATATATTGCACTGATTAAGGCACTCTACTCGTACTCATACAGCCAGGTGAGGGCTTACGGCGAGCTGTCATCTGAACTGATGACGACCAGTGGTGTCCGTCAAGGATGCCCATTATCTCCTTTTCTATTCAACTTCATCATAGATGTGTTAATGGACTTAACCCTAGGTGACTTCAGCGATTCAGGGATTGACTTGCTAGCAGGGAATAATCTCGTTGACTTGGAATATGCAGACGATATAGTCCTTCTAGGCGAAGACGCTGACAAAATGCAGAGTCTTCACTCATCTTCTTGTCTACTCTGTGTGCTATTTGGAAGGTGGCAACTCGAACTGCTGCACTTCGGTGCCAAGTTCTATGTTGAATCCAGACAGACAGACAGAGTCTTCTAAACACCTTGAGCCGCAATCTACGAATGTTTGGCATGCGATTCGCTCCCGCCAAATGCAAGATGATGTTACAGGACTGGACTACATCGACGCCTAGTTTAAAAATAGGAAGTGAAGTGGTAGAGCACGTTGACCGCTTCACTTATCTGGGAAGTACCATCAGCCCCAACGGGCTGATCTCTGACGAAATCTCAGCACGAATACAAGGGGCTCGTTTCGCATTTGTTAGTTTACGCCGACTCTGGCGTAGACGAGATGTTCGACTATCGACCAAAGGGCGGGTGTATTGCTCATCAGTCCGCTCTGTCCTCCTTTATGGTTGTGAGACCTGGTCACTGAGAGTGGAAGACATGAAAAGACTAGCTGCCTTTGATCATAGGTGCCTGCGTTCTATTTCCTGTGTAAAGTGGCATAATAAGGTGAGCAACATGGAGGTTAGGCGTAGAGTTCTAGGTAAACAGGGGAAATCAATCGACGAAGTCGTGAAGCTACATCGACTGAGATGGTTAGGACATGTGTTACGTATGCCAAGTCATCGCCTCCCTCAACGAGCTATGTTAGCGGATATAGGGTCAGGCTGGAAAAAAGCTAGCGGCGGTCAAACAAAAACTTGGCATCAGTCAATGAAATCCACAACAGTTGGTCTTAGCCACGTAGGAAGGTGTAGACTTCCAGGCTGCGGTCCTCGGGACGGTAAAAATCTATGGTTGGAAACAATTGGTGACATGGCTCAAAATCGTTCTCAGTGGCGCAGATGCATCCACTCCCTGTGACTTATGATCTTCAATGAAACTGTTTTGTATTTCTTTATTACTCCTTTGTCTCACACCTCTGCTCACTGTCTCTATTATGCTTTTCTTGTACTTTCTTCTCTTGCTTCGCGTGCTACACGGAATGTGGCGACTTGAACTTCCCCACATTTGTGCAAAGTTCTATGTCGAAAACAGACAAACAGACCACGTCAAGGTAGCAGCTTTCGGTCGGGCTGCTCGAAGTACAAGTACAATTTCCTTAATTATTATTTTCAGTAAATTTGATTATAAGTCTGCTGGATCTGTTGATGGTATAACATTGACGAAAAGTGATCTTCAGTGTCTTGAACCTGGAGCTCTTATAAACGATGCAATAATAAATTTTTATCTGAAATACTTGCTCGAAGTACAAGTATTTCAGATAAAAATTTATTATTGCATCGTTTATAAGAGCTCCAGGTTCAAGACACTGAAGATCACTTTTCGTCAATGTTATACCATCAACAGATCCAGCAGACTTATAATCAAATTTACTGAAAATAATAATTAAGGAAATTTCAAATAGTAGTCGTCTTATAAAATCTTTAGATTAGAGCAAAACAAAAGTCATATTTACTGAATACAACCCGCATACACACTAGATAACAAGATTTGCTTCATTTGTGAGCATTGATCAACGTTTTATGCGACTGACTGATCGTAAGCAACTTTTACTTCACAGGGGAATCAATATACACTGACTTCTTCCATAAAATGCTACTATTGTGTAAAATATGCCAATCCATCCATCCATGCAGAAGAGCTTACCTGTTTCATACCTCCTAATTGTCTCCCCAACAATAGAACATGAATCTTAATCACCTGAAACCATTTCCAAACGATAAAAATGAAGGCGCCTTAGTTATCCGTTCATTTTCGGCATAATAATTCGTCTAATAATGCAAGCTGTCAGTAGATATAATAAATATCTGAGCTGTCAAATGATACTAGGGATCTGCGAATACGAACAATTGAATTTCACACTAATATGTACACTAAAATATTTTAAGAAATATAAAACACAAGAACTTGAGTCCTGTGGTATTCAACACTATGTCGCTTCACTCATAAGACAGTGAAACAATATCAAGCAACTGATATTATAACAAACAGAATTTATCGTCATAATACTGGTCACCATGATTACTCCAAACATACATCTGTGGAATTCCACTTGACACATTCAGAAACAATGAATTGTGTTCCAAGAGTTATGCGGTAAGCAACAGTTCTACTCTGATATTTCTAATGAACAAGTCAATAAAGTGAGAAGATAATACACTTTTATTTCCTCAAACATATTTCAGGCTTGCCCGACCGAAAGCTGCTACCTTGACGTGGTGGTCGGGCTTGAACACCGCAATGATCTATTCAAGCTATACTGGCTGAGACTTATGTCTCTTGAGGTACTACCATGCCAGGCAGGTTGTTTGGATAGCGGTTAAACAAAAAGCAGCCACCCAATCCAACATCATGTCCAATACAAAATCACAAAATTTCATGCCGAATCGGCCGTGGCCCGGATTAACAACGACCGCGCTTCCTGCTGCCGTGTCACAGGGCAGGAGTGATAAATCTGCTACTGAGACACACCAAACAAAAAGAACTAACAAAAACAGGCCGCGTGTGACCGGCCTCAAGCAGTTGTCCCCTGGGCTCTGCGGTCACGCAACCGACTTCCACGGTGAGGGCAGCCGGGAAGTAACAATCGCCCTCACAATCCGAAACCTCTATTTTAGGCTTGAGTGATTAGTAGATAATAGTTAAGGTTGACAACCATAAGTTGTGTAACCTGAAAGCTTGCTTTCATGTAAAAAGTTCTATGCTACAACATTCGTAATTGTTTTCAGTAACACCTGTCAAGTGATGCTCATGACTCGATAGTGATAATGAAAACTAGTCATTTATTTGACTAAATGATATAAGCAATACGCATCCCATACTTTTATGAAAAAAGAGGGGAAAGATCTTAAACACGATGTTGCCTATTGTGGTTGATGTAGACAGTTTCAAATGTCATATCACGTTAGCTATGTTAAGAGTCCGAGAATCCCGATGTAAACAGTAATTTAGCAACATGCTGGTTTGCAAGTATGTTGGATAGTAAGGAGTGAAATTAAGTTAAAATCTAAGTAATGTGAGCAATGTGAGGTGGTCATCAGTGGCTGTGAAGACGAACACTCAACATTTTAAGGAAAGGCAAAGTATCAATCACTTTAGGCAACTAGTGTAGTTTTGTATTGGCTACCGAAATGACTAACTGCTTTCTAAGGTACAAAAAAAAGTTTCACTTACAAGGAGTCTTCGTCACAATTCGTAGTCGATTCTGCTTGCACATTATCACTGGGAGGTTGAGCGGCCACATTAGAAGTATTTTCTTCATGTATTATAATTAACTCGTCACATTCCTCGTCCAACTTCAGGGAAAAATAAGTCGTTGAATTAGACAAATCGTTGTGAACAAATATAAATGGATATGTGATCAACACATAAAAATACAACTTTGTTTAAATTCTTAGTAAATTACACCTAATTTTTTAAGTATTCTAATGAAAATTTGATGTTAATTGGAGAAAAGGAGAATAAATATATAATTGGCAAACAGTTTGGGAACCTACATAAAAATATAGGACTACAGTTCCACTAAACCTTGTTGCCGTCAGTAAAGTGAACTAATCTTAAGATATCGATCGACTAAATGAACCATTTGTCAACTGATAAAATTAATTCAACGACAAACAGTAAAGTGAAGTTAATTCCTCGTCTAAAGCTCATTAAATATTGACCTTAGCAAACCACGACGTTGCATTGCAGTCCCTGTTGTCTTGTCCTATAACAGTTTAAAGATACAGTGTTTGACCTCAGTTGTTCAGAACACACATTTTTCATCTACCAGACTGGACTGTGAGGATTGTGAGAGATGAAAATACCACCCAGTTGTCCGGATTCAAGTAGGTGGGGCGGAACTCGAACCCACGACTAACAGACTGTAAGTCTAGTGCCCCAGCCAATGAGGCACTCATACATATATAATGAACTGTAAAATGCACAATCTTGAAAACCCGATGAAAAATTTAATTTAATACAATAAGGTTGTGATACACTATCTAAGGTGACTGAAACATTCGGTACGTGAAGCCGATCTCTCTTAAACTACAATTTCAAGTGCAGTGGAAAAGACTACGAGGACATAGTACCAGGGTAAGAAGACTTAAACTTTAATAAGGACTTAATGTATTTGATAGAACATAGAGAGTGGATGCACCCGCGTCCTTAAGGACGATTTTGAGCCATATCACCGATACCCTCCAGGCAACCCGAGGACTCCATCCAGGCAGTCTACATCCCTCTACGTGGCTCAAAGCAAATGTCAAAGTCTTCGTCAATCACTCTTGGGTTTCCATTTGGCAAATCCCCACTCTTCCAACAAAACCCTATATCAACTACGATTGCTCGTAGGGGAAGAATGTAGTTCGGCATGCAACGTGTTCAAGTCATCTCAATAGGTGTAGCCTCACAATATCTCCCTTACCTACCACTACATTTAACCTCAAAATAGCCATAAAACTTCGGCACCTTGGTAGAGTATAACTCCATTGTAGATAAGATTTGATTTTGATAAATCACAGTGTTATACAGTAATATTAACTAATGACATTTCGAGCACAAACTACTGCTCATAATCACATGATTTTATACCATATTACACCACACTTCACAAGGACCATAGAACATATATCTCCAGTACTGTGAGCTTGATATCAACGTGTCTTAAAAAATATTTTCAAGCTACTGGACTTCTCAAAATTTAGGAGCGCATAAACCATGAAGCTATGCCACTAACTTTTCGGCTAAAAATGAGTACGTTTTAGAACTCAGTATATGAGGACTACTCATAAAATAGGCACAATAATCTATAACTTACTTCACTTGTTTTCGATTTTCCTCTACAATTTACGTTGCTTTCCTGCGTTGCAGAGCCAGAATTCATTTTCAACTGGAAGTCGTCATTCGTAAGAGTATTTATTCGATTTATGACTGAAGGTTCAGTCTGGATTCAACATAGAACTTGGCACCGAAGTGCAGCAGTTCGAGTTGCCACCTTCCAAATAGCACACAGAGGTAGACAAGAAGATGAGTGGAGAGAATCATTAGAGTTTGACAAGTATGAGAGTGAAACAGAATGGGTAATGGTAGAAAGGAATATGAAAGATTACAGAGACTGAATACATCTGCGCCATTGACAACGATTTTGAGCCATGTCACCTATTGTCTCCAGCCATTGATTCCTAGAGTCCCGAGGGCCCCAACCCGGGAGTCTGCATCTCCCTACCTGACTCAGTTTAACTGTCAAGGATTTCATGGATTGATGCCATGTTTTTGTTTGGCCACCACTGGCTCTTTTCCAACCTGAACCTATATCAGCTAACAATGCCCGTCGGGGGAGGCGGTGGTTAGGCATGCGCACCACGTGACCTAGCCATCTTAGTCTATGTAACTTTATAACCTCGTCGATTGATTTTCCCTGTTTGCCCAACACTCTACGCCTAACGTCAACATTACTTATCTTGTGAAACCACCTAACGTGAGACAGAGATCGCAGACATGAAGGTTCAGTAGATGCTGTATCAGCCCTTCTCAGCTCAGAACGGAGCAGGCGAAGACCACAGCTAGAAAGAATTCTCCTAGCCTTTTCTGAACTACACTGAAAATCACAGACTCCACTTCTTCCAACTTTGTTGGCCAAACCTTCGAGATTACTCACAGTCATATAAAGAGGTTCGCTTGTGGAAGGTTCCCGAAACACGAAAACCAGCCATCTGATGTTAGCTGTGAAATGAATAAACAAATACACTTCGAATACCACTAATACTCGCACAAAAAGACAAGAATGTTACTCAGGAACTTCTGTATGAAGCCTACCAGTTCTCCCCGATGAGGCTAAAGCCATCGGAACACAATATATCAGTGGAAGGCTCTTCAAATTTGCGGGCTTCATGAAGCGTGACAACTTGGACAAATGCACCTTGGTGAAAAGTCTTATGTTGAAAAATCACCTTAGCGATGATTACTAATAAGAACGTATCAGCCTATTATGTGTGAGGAGAGGGGGTGGCAATACTTCCCAGTTAACCGAGATGAGGTGGATGAACCGCGATTCAAAGCCATAACCCACTAATTGGAACTCAGGTATTTAATAATAAGAATAACAATAATCCAATTTATTCCAAAAAACAACACTTATAATACAGAATGGAATTCTCAGCATTTGTCACAATATAGCATCTGATTTACTCGAAATATAAATAAATCTTACTACATAAATTTGTCCACATTTACAGCATAAAGTCAAAAATATTCGAAGTACAAATTGAGAATAATAGTAAATACAACAACAATAACAGGCGGTTTGTTTCAAACACTACCATCGATTCAGTCTGCACATTTTAGCATTCTATAAATTATTGAATCTAACGTTATGTTCAAATAGCATGGTGGGGGAGATAAAATTATGTTGGACCGCGTAAGGGCGGTAAACACAGTAAAGCGGTGGTGGCAAAAAAAAATATAGAGGTTGCATGGCAGGAAGCGACTTCACGACAACTCAGTTGTTTCGATACTTCCTAATAATAATAAGACAACTAAGCAACATGTCAACGTCAGTGAAGTGACTTACTACACAAGATTATCAAGCTATTACCAGCCCAAATTACCACAGCTGATGACAAGCACATAGCTTTCTGTCCCGTCACACTCGTCAATAACGGGAGATTGGATACATAGACAAGCATATGTATATTAAAAGTTAACAAAGATACGCATATACTACACCAAACATTCCTAAAGAAAATGACGTCTCGAAACCTTACGTAAAACTAAATCTCCGAGCTGTAGGCAGTCTGAGAGCTGTGATCTGTATGAGTCGTATGGCTTCAGAAATAGCACTTGAAGAGTTTCACAGAATACAAGCATTTCGATGTCGTTGGCGTGAATACTGAGGCTAGTCCACGCACCTAAATAATTAGTGATAAACAATTACAACATACCTTCAACTTTAACTCTGCACAAGATTGAAGAGGAGGTAATGCAACAGTCCTCTGAACGGCCATCGTAAATTCCCGACCTTCCAATGCTGAAAATATTAGGCGGAACAAGGTGACTGTCGCCAGTAGTTCTTGGTCTTTTCGCAGATAGCGTATCGTTGGCAGTTACACTTAAAGCCTCCCCTTTACTTATCGATGTCAGTGCCGTGTTGGGAAGACTAAAGGGTTTCTTACACATGATACATTTGTGGTCTGTGAGAGAGACAAAGCCTTGACAATTTAGTTGAGTACACTTCCCAAAAACCCTATTTGAGTTATTATTCAGGCATCTATGTCAGTAAGGGGCTCGTTACAATGTACGCAATCATACCGAGACTTCTTCCTATTACGCTCCTGAACCTTCCGAAACACTGTAACTGCAAAGCCAAACGAACGCACCTTCCTGTTCAAACCAAATCACCCTCTTAACGATCCAATATTCAATATCGTTTTTACGAGCTAGTATAAACCAATTTGATTTCTTTGTGGTCGCTTCTTGATTGTAAGGTATAGGTTCCTGATCTTCGGTAAACTTCTGCGTAGCTTGATATAAGTATAAAACTTGGGCACTGTGGTAGAGTTCATATAACTGTAAACACTGTGCGATTTATCAGAATAAAATCTTATCTATAATGGAATTCTGCGTAGCTTGTCCCGCCACTCGACTGTCGTAGCTTTGGTTGACTCCAAAGGGAGTAGTGCTGGGATTAATTATATGTGGTTTGTAGTATGAGGTATGTTAAGACTGTTACTACTGTGATTGCAGTTGATCCTTTCGCCAGTTAGTCCTTCGGTATCGTCGACAAGAGAAAAGAGATAGTAATAATAATAATAATGGTAATAATAGTAGATATAATTAGTGAAGTTATTCAGACTAAGAGACAGAAACGAAAATAGGAAACGTAACAACAGTCAGCTCATTAAGTTTGAAGAATAATATGTATATCGGTAATAGCAATAATAATAATAATTATAATATTAATAATTTGTCAGGAGAGTAAGACGGGAGAGAACGTAAAGAAGTAAAACGACGAGTTTAATTATCTACCCCTGATTGGTATATGCGATTTTTAGGAGATAGGCCATTTGGATGCAGTCCTTGTATCGCTGCATGGTTGTCCAGCCTTCGCTTAAAGGCGTCCAAAGACGGTGTCATAGCTACATCTGCCGGAAAGGAATTCCGGGGGCGGCAAACCCGCAGTGAAAAGAAGTGGGAGAGCACCCGGGTCCTTGCCCTCTGGTGAGCTATCCTTCTGGGATTTCCACGTGGAAGTCTATACCTACTCAATGGCAGAACACCTTTCTTTAGGTGATTCTGGTCATTTGTTATTTTGTAGGCAGTAATCAAATCCCCCCTAAGCCGACGGTAACTAAGTGTGAACAGGCCTAATTTCTTCAGTCTTTCATCATATGGTTTGTTTCGGAGACCAACCACTCCTTTTGTTGCCCGTCGTTGGACTCTTTCCAATAGGTTAGCGTCTCTTCTCAGCATTGGGGGTGCAATAATATTATGCACCTCAAGGTGTGGCCTGACGTATGTTTTGCACAACATTAGAAAGAGCTCAGGAGTGAGTGCACCTAACTGTCTATGCGTAAAGTGTATGACCGCATATGCCCTCGCTACATCCCCTGTGTAATTTACGCTTGTGTCCATTTTTTCCGTTAGAACTAGACCTAAGTCGCGTTCCGACGTTGTGCAGGACAAGCTTTCATTGCACAGGGTGTAACTTGCATTCTGCAGTCTACAGGTGCGCAACTTCACTACTTTGAAAGTCATGCCACTGGCCACCGCCCAGTCTTCCAGAAGGTTTAGGTCTTCCTGTAGCCTATCTGAGTCCTCCGGACACTTCATCGCCCTCCACATTTTCACGTCGTCAGCGTATAGGAGAGTCGGGAAGCTCAGACGGCGTGGTAGATCATTGAAGAAAATCAAAAACATCAATAGTCCTAGGATAGAACCCTGCGGCACTCCTGATGACGATCTGTGCCAAGATGATCGGACTCGGTTAACCTTAGTGCGAAATTGCCTGTCGGCTAGGTAGTCCTTCAACCATGACAGAAGTGGCTCACCTATGCCTGCCTGGCTTATTTTATGTAGGAGAAGGTCATGGTGAACAGTGTCAAATGCCTTCTCAAAGTCTAGGAAGACCACATGGACTGGTACGTTCATGTCTCAGCATGATGTCCAGTCGTCCCAAGCTGACAGTAGGTTAGTGACGCAGGATCTGCCTTTTCTGAAACCATGTTGGGCTTCATGTAGTATATTAGTCCTATCGAAATATTCCCTGATGTGGTCGTCAATAATACTTTCCAGTACTTTCGAAAGCACTGGGAGTAGAGCTACTGGTCTATAGCTAATAGCGTTTTGCCTGTCCCCACCCTTGAAGATTGGAGAAAGGATGGCCCTTTACCACTCCCTTGTCAGTGTCCCCGAATCCATTGAGTGTTGGAACAAGTCGCACAGGGGTCTACAGAGAGCCTCGGCGCACTGTTTTAGAACAGATGGCGTGATGTCATCACAACCTGGGGACTTCCCAGGTATGAGTCACTGTAGATTCCTTAGTACTATTGCGTGGTTTATTTGGGGAGTGATCGCTAGGTCTTCCTCCTCTGAAATAGTGGTGCCACCATTTCGGTCCGTAACTGTAATATCCACATTGCTGTTTAGCTGTTTAGCGAAGGCTGAACTGAATGTTTCAGCCATCTCCAGACTAGTGAGATATTGACCGTTTGTGCCTACTAAGGCGCATGCCCCTTGGTTTGTCGGTTTTCTTTCCGACATGAATCGGTACAAGTTTTTAGGGTTTGATAGGAGTTTTTTAGCAAGGTTAGCCTGGCATGACCTCCTGTCCCTCCTGACTCTTGCATTACACCGGTTCCTGAGTTCGAGGTATGCATCATGGTCGGT